AGCTGATCCACCCACCTCACCTCCCAAAGTGCTGGGATTACAGGGGTGAGTCATCACACCCGGCTGCAGAGATCACTATTTTCTGATGCTGAATATAGAATTTTGTAATTATAAGTTGGTGAGTTCAACATTAATTCTGGCGGCGTTCTAAAATGAGTTATTTAATGGAACTTTGTATGAACCTAAAAAGGGAAATCACCAATCAGCAAGAACACCATGGAGTCACTGTCATCATTTCAGACAACTTCCTTTTTGGATGAGCTCTTTGGCAAGGCGATGGAGAACTAACTTGTCAACTGCTAGATGACATCAAACTGAGAGAACTAGTGAATCTAGTAACAGGATCAAGATCCTGAGAGATGGGGGCAAGTGGCTTAAGAAGTCACTTCTGCTTCTTGGATAAGATAATGAATGAGGTAATAGAAAGCAAGGTGATTAAATGGTACCAAACTGACAGAAATGGCAGATGTGTATTTCTTATCCAAAACAGAGTAAGAAATACGCAAAAGTCTAAATTCAATGAGATAATATTCAACACAGATAAGTATAAGATATTATCATCAAGTCTAACCATTAATGGGTAATTCGATGGGTATCATCAAGTTTAGCTACTAATGGGCCAACTACTAATGGATTTCTTTTTGGGGTCATGAAAGTGTTCTGGAAGTAGACAGTGGTGATGGTTGCACAATAAGTAAATACACTAAAACCACTGAACGGTACCTTTTAATAAAAATGGTGACTTTTACATTATTTGAATTTTATCTAATTAAAATATAATTTCAAAATGTTTTATATATCATATATTATGTCAGACACATTAACATCCACAAATATTTAACACTAATACTATAAGAAGATTGGCAATACTGTCAAGTAGTATCGTGTACAATTGTACAATACACCAGAGGCCTGGATTAATAAAGCAAATTGTTAAAAATAAAGTAACGAGGCTGGGCACAGTAGCTCACTCCTGTAATCCCAGCACTTTGGGAGGCGAAGGTGAGTAGATCACCTGAGGTCAAGAGTTCAAGACCAGCCTGGCCAACATGGTGAAACCCCATCTCTACTAAAAATATAAAAATTAGCTGGGTGTGGTGGCACATGCCTGTACTTCCAGCTACTCAGGAGGCTGAGGCAAGACAATCACTTGAACCCAGGAGGTGGAGGTTTCAGTAAGCCGAGATCACGCATTACACTTCAGCGTGGGTGACAGAGTGAAACTCCGTGACAAAAACAAACAAAAAGCAATGGATTAATCATTCATTCCTCACTAATTTACTGCATGCTTAGTTGGCCCCAAGCACTGTGTTAGGTGCAATAGATGCAAAGGGTGAACAAGATATAATCTCTACCATCATAGGACTTCCATCAAGCAGGGGAGCTTGACATTAAATGAACATAACTCGAATAAATATAACAACTGTAATGAGGAACCTAAGAGGAAAACACAAGGTCTTATGATGAAACACAACAGGCAGATCTGATTTAGATGGAGGAGTTGAACAACAGCCTGTGAAATCACAATTTCAAACTAGTAGGATGAAGTATTTAGCCAGGTGAAGAGTGGGAATTAATGTTCCCTGAGATTGAACAACAGTGCAAAAGTCCTGAGGCAGAAAACAACTGGTCCTGTGGGAGAACTCTGTGAAGGCAAGTTGTATCAGAGGGTAGTGAATAAGAAGACTGTCACAAAACAAGGCTGGAGAAATAGGAAGGGCTCAGTCTACACAGGGCCTTACAAGCCATTCTGGGGATTCTCACTTCATATCCTGAGTACAAAGGAAAGCTACCTAGGAATTTTAGCAGGGAAGTAGCATGATACATTTGAGACATAAAAGCACCACCCAGGCTCCTCTGTGAAAAAGGGATTCAAGAAAAGCAAAAAAGTAAATGAGGAGACCAGTCAGGGTCAGACTAGAGCGTAGGTGTAGAAAGGAAGAGAAGACATTTACAACATCTGTCTTGGAGGTTATCACGTATTCTATTTCATAACTCAAATTTACACATGTGGGAAAAATGCCTTCCAGAAAGACCAAAGTATACAAAGTAGAGATCACTTACCAGGATCCTGGACACATTCACCTGAATCCAGTACCAAACTAAATCCTACAAACACTTCACACTACTTCCAGGAGTCCTGAAGTCTTTTAATTAAGCAGTACTTGAACCCAAATTATGCCTAAGCTTCCAGCTTAGAGTGGTAAAGGAAGCCAGAGTTTTTTTTCAGAGTGGTAAAGGAAGTTTTCAGAGTGGTAAAGGAAGCCAGAGTTTTCAGAGTGGTAAAGGAAGCCAGACAGTGAAGTAGAAACCTAGAAGTTAACTGGGATGAGTACAGGTAATACTTGGTGTCCCTGCTTTAACTCAACGGCAAGCCAGCTTGTCCTTAGAACTTTTTTCCTCTCTAGAGGAACCACTCTGGAAGAGAAACACTCTGCTTAGCATATGCTCTGTTAACGGCTTCAGTTAAACACACACACACCCTCAGAAAGAAATATGTGCAAAGCATTCCAGATTATGCATGTGCATCTGTCTCCTTAAATTGCACTCCAGAGACTAAAGCAGAACACAGAGGCTGCCATGGATATTACACAGTCTACAGTCAGTGAATGAATGACTTCCATTGTTACAGAAAAGCAACTGTACGTTATACATGCATACAATTATTTTCCTCTTAAAATAAAACTCTTACTACCCACATGGTAAATATTGCTTTAAACACACAATGGGCCAAATAAACACACTTTGTATATACTCCTTGCAAACCCAAGACATGAAACCATGAAATCGAGGGAAATTTACCTATAGTTTCCCCAGAGTATAATGGAAGCAAATAATAAGATGAATATGACTAGTAACAACTACATATTTAACTCTGCATGCTCCTTAAGTAATCTTGTTCTCTTTTTCATTTAGACTGTTAAAATTAACTTTGCTCTTAAAAATGTAAAACAAAAGGAGGAAGTTATTTAACATCCAGGAATCATTTATCTTTGTTATTCTTTTCAGCTTCTTTAGAGTTGTAATTATTTATTACAATATATATTTATACAACTACATGACCACCTTCGAAAATGCTCCTAGTCCTTCTTAAGTCCTTCCATGTTAAGACGGCTTCCCTTGCCCTTGAGGGCAGAGCTGATCCTCTAGCCAGTCTCCCCCTCTACCCATCGCACCTTGCACATGTCTCTATCATACACTGACATATTTACAACTGCCTCCCCTTCAGACTGTGAATTTCTGGATGTTCCCAGCACTCAACACAGAGCCTGGCACATGAAAGATTCTAAATGCTTGTGGAATAAAATAAATGAATAAATGAATCAGATCCATCCAACCTCTGTAATTTCTAATTTTTTTCACTGGCATTATCCCAAATGTTAACGACCCATCCAATTCAATAACACTTCAGACAATTTTCTATTTCCCCCCAATTTCTTCCCATTTCCAGATAAATGGGGATTTCTGACTTGAAGTACTGCACTGCTTAGAGAGTATCGATAAACACCAATTTTAAGAGTAAGTGAAAACATTTCTTGCGACTCAGGTTTACATGTGACTTTGTGCCACCGTCTTTGTATACAGAAAAGGCCTTGTCTCCCCAAATTCATATTCCGAAAGTGGCATCCACTGCCATGTCACCCTATCATTCTTGCTATTGACATCCACATCAGATATCACTTTTACAAAGGACCTGCCTCATCATAAAAGAACAAAGAATGCCCTTGGCAAGGGCAGAGTCCATGAGTTAAATTTGTCCTTCTGAAATAAATTATTTAGTACCACTTAAACTCTGAAAGCTTTGAGCCACCTATCCTGTGGTTTATAGCACTGTCTTCTAAGTTTACAATTTCCTGATTGTGAAAGGACAATTTAATCCCCTAGTGCAAAATCAATACAATTTAAATTTACTGTTGGAACTGACATTCTCCAGCAAACTAAAAGACTTCTTCTTCCAATGACATGAGATAATTTTAAACTGCTTTTACAAAAAAGTACTCAGGAACTATTCCAAAATTTAGGAATGAACTCTTGCTGGATATAAAGCAACTGCCCCTACCCCTCTCAAATGAGTGGGCTGACCTAAGTTTGATCTGTTACGGACCTACATTTCAAATGGAAGTTCTTCCAGGAAAAGGCAAGGAGCTGTGGTGGTAGTAACAACAGATAGCAAATAGGATTTCAAAATATATTTTCAGTCCTTTAGGGTTTTTATTAGGCAGCAAAGTCGATCATCATTTTCATTCTAAATTAGATTATCAGTACAACTACTGATACATCAGTTAACGTTTCCAATGTTAATTTACTGGACTGATCAGGGACCATTCGCTTCTGTTGATTAGCAAAAGCTGGTGTTGTTTAAAACACACCAGTGCGTGACGAATCCATAAGCTGCATCTTTTTCTCTAACGAACAAAACGCTGGAAAGGGCAACAACCATCATTCAACCTACAGTGAATATTGATCATCCCTTCTGTGTAAGGCTCCTTGCAGCTGCTACAGTGAGGATAAGGATGGTGACTGAAAAGGCCGAGTCGAGTGGGCCTGATCCCCTAGATTTAACAAGCTTCCAGGCGCAGGAGCCCATCTGCCTGCAGCTCGTTTTCCTTCCACCTGTCACCGAAAGGCTTGTTTCCCTTTCAACTGCTCTGAGCAGCCAACAGCTAAAGGAAAAAGCCTCGCGCCAGGAGAAAGAAGCGTTGATCAACAGCCAGTTGCTAGCAGACAACTGAGGTTCCCTCCCTTCCACCCCTGTGTCTACTGTGCGCCCCCAAACCAAGAGGTCGGACCCAGCAGCAGCTAAGGATAGGCCTGGGAGGCAGCAAGAAAACGGTCAGGCTCGCGGGACCCTGAGATGCTCAGGCGCTCCCAGCTCCTCCCTCGCCCGCGGTCCAGGCTCTGCCGGCGCCTGGCAGAGCGGTCGGCCTCCGCGCGCTCAGCATCCCTCCTCCTCTTCCATCTCCTCCCGTCCCTCCTCCTCCCGTCCTGGAGCCACCAACCTTGGGCGTGCGGATGTGCTCCATGGCTGGCCCACGGCTGCAAGGTCCGCGACGGGCGCGGCCTCACGCACCTGCGTGCGTCTGCGACGCAACGGGAGGGGAGCGAGGAGGGGGCTTCGCGCCCGGGAGTGGGCGGAGCGCGGGCTTGGCTCCGCCCCCAGGTGCGCCTCGCGCGGCTTGCGGACCCTGGGCTCCCGCGCGGCCCTAGAGACAGCATCTCTGCGCCTGCGCCCACCTGCGCCGCCGCCGCGCCGCTCCTCTGCCCGAGTCGCACGGGCCAGGGCCTCTCGCTCCCTCCTAAGAGGGGCAGCCGGCGCAGCACTGTACGGCCACTGTTCCCCAAGACACAAAGAGGGCCTTGTGTTGGGTGTGGTCTCTTGGAAGAGAGATGGGGAAGTACACGCTGCTCCACACCGCCCCTGGGCTTCCTTCCAGGGCGTCCCAAGAAGGTGGGATTTCAGGGTGGGGCGGAAAAGAAGGCTGCCACAGACACTCTAGAACCAGGACGGTCTCGTGGACTCGAGGTGTTTGTCAGCCCAGGCGCGGCCGGCATAGCACTGGGGGTGCGGGTGGAAATAATAGCAGCAGTGTTAGCGCCCTGCTAAGTGCGCTAAGTCAGGCATCTCACATCCACCTGCGACTTCACTGTTGCAGGCGAACTTTTCCCTTGGCACGCAGTTGGGTGTTAATTTGCTCTCTTTATTTAGCTCCAACTCAACTGGGAGATAGAGATACAAAGCATCCATTATGCGGTACCATTTCCCTACTTAATGATATTAACAGCAGTTAGTGCCATAGTTACTGTTAAGACCCTTGGGAAGAGCCAAACAGAGAAACGTCCTCTACTTTTTTTTTCTTGCACCCCTAAGAGTACAATGTTCCACCATAACTAAAATTTTATAGAACATTACATAGTTCTTGGAATATATGTTCAATTTTTTCTTCCTCTTATCTTTCAGGCCAGATTGTGATTTTTTTTTTTTTCCCCGTAGAGACTCTGCTTATCTCTTTTTGTTTAATGCCTGGACACATTGCAGTGTTACGACAAATAATATGGTATTGAATTTATTTTAAAAATTCCAGAGCCCTCTTTCACACATCTTCTGCCATTTAATCCTCCTACTACTTTGGGAGGCAATTAGGACTAGCACTATAAACCACCATTTGCATATGTTGTGATTGACCCAGGTCGTAGTTTCTCCTTTGCCGAGGAACAGCAGGAATAGAGTCAAGAGTGCTCTGGTGCCAACTCACACACCGGCCTCGGTCTCCTCGTTTATAAAACTAAAATCGCCTGCCCAGATAATCTCAAAGTTACCTATCATCTCCAAATTCTTTCAATACAAAGAATCTTAAGTACTTTTGTGGAGGGGAACATTCTAAACAGGCAAATAACATTGAAATTTTGTGCTTTCAGGGTTCTGTTCTTCTACTGGTGAGTTGATTAAAAGTCTACTTGGTGAGTAATTTTTGCATGAAAGTGTCTCTGGCCTGTTATTATAATAGGTTTTTTAAAAAAACACTAATTGGTAGATGAAGAGAGGTAAGTCTGAACAATTTAGCCTAATGTTAAGATATTACATCACAAACTGTGTTGATCCCTAACAACCACAAAGAGCTTTCTGGTACTTATGGTGTTATATAGCCCCCTAAACTTCCTTGCTGTTCCAACACCGCCTAATAGGGCAGAAGAGATTGAAAAAGTAGCAAGAGTTGGAGGGCAGTAAGGTGAGAGAATGGAGAGTATATTGTTGAAATGGTTGGCTATATTCATCCTAAGTAGAGAGAAAAGGAAAACTGACCATTCAATTACTTAGAAAATACTACTCAAGGTATGATGGCAAATCCTGGAAGATTGAAGGGAGTCCCAGATAAGAAGGACATTAAGCCCTGCAATTGTGATATGGCCAACACCACGGAAGTAAAAGGCAGACCAATTAAGATGGTGACAGAGCGTGGAGAAATGCTAAAGAAAGCCTCAAGAAGAATGGTCTACTTTCTGCCTTTCTCCTATTACTTTCGAGAAAAATCAATGGATAGACTTAGGATCATGTACTTCTTGAAGTTTGATATTTGTTGTGTCTAAAATGAACCGTAGTCCAGAAGGATGAATATTGCATCTCTGAGTCTTCACAAAGCAGAAATATCTCCATCTGGCCCCAGACCAAGAAATGAGAAGGGGAGAGAAAAAAAAGCTTATCCTTCCAACTCTATGTAATTTGCAGATGGAGCCACGCTCAGATTTATACCAAATCAGCCTATGTACACAGAATTGGAAAATGGCTATTTTTTTTCTCTACTCTTTGTGACTCTTGGATAGAAAATAAGTGCATTTCAGCAAAGCTATTTTTTCCATCAAGCAAAATATCAGACAATAGAATTAAGATCTAGTTACCTGCATGTCCACCAAACTGCTTCTTCCCTTGTCAGGACACATTGTAGTTGCCCTCATTTTATCATCAGTGTCTGGGATTTTTGCCTCGGGAAATGGTAGGTATTACTGTATACATCAATATTTAACCCTTCTATCCTACCTGGGAACACAGGGACTACCCAACCCCCTTGCTATTGAATGGGGCCATGTGACTGGTTGTGGCCAATGGACTGTGGAAGTGGCTTTTGTCAATTCTGGGCCAAACCCCAACAAAGCCCCTGTATGGCCCTTCACTTCTCTCTTCCCCTGTCTTGATGATATGGAGGTCACATGTTGAGATTAAAGTGAAAAGGCTGGGTGTGGTGGCCTACGCCTGTAATCCTAGCACTTTGGGAGACCAAGGAGGGCAGATCACCTGAGCTCGTGAGTTTGAGACCAGCCTAGCCAAAGTGGTAAAACCCCATCTCTACTAAAAATGTGAAAATTAGCTGGTCATGGTGGAGTGCACCTGTAATCCCAGCTACTCAGGAGGCTGAGGCAGGAGAATTGCTTGAACCCGGGAGACAGCAGATGTAGTGAGCTGTGATTATGCCACTGCACTCAGGCCTGGGCAACAGAGTGAAACTCTGTTAAAAAGAGAGACAGAGAGAGAGAGAGAAAATAATGATAATGAATTTTTTATTCATGTTTGAAGTAACTGTGGCCCTAAACTATTCAGTATTAGAATGAAATGAGACAAGATTACCTTACATTGTTACAAGAACTACTGTGGAAAGCCACAGCTGATTCTTTTGTGAGTGAAAAGAACACTTTTTTATTTTTGTTGTCACATAAAGCCACTGAGCTTTAAAGCTTAATTTAGCCTCGCCCACCTTCTGGACTATGGTTCATTCCAGACACACCAAATATCAAACTTCAAGAAGTACATGATCCTAAGTCTATCCATTGATTTTTCTCAAAGTAATAGGAAAAAGGCAGTAAGTAGGCTATTCTTCTTGAGGCTTTCTTTAGTATTTCCACATGCTCTGTCACTACCTTAGCTGGTCTGCCTTTTATTTCCTTGGTGTTGGCTATATCACAATTACCAGATTTAGCATCCTTCTTATCTGGAACTCCCTTCCAGTATTTGCCAATATAGCCTATACTATATTGAAGTGGAAAGAGAATTTGAGAGAGAGTGAAAATAATACACTGTCTCTACCTTTGTCTTTATGATTTTTTTTAAAGAGGGAGTTGATAATGTCTTTAAAGATCTCTAGGGACACTTACCCATGTTAGAGACCTAAACTACTTGATTGTAAGTTACCAGAGATCTTCTAGAGAATATCTTCTTATGCAACTTTTATCACATAGATAATTCAGTTGCAAATACTATTGCTAAAAGAATTTTAAAATAAAAACTTGATATTAACTGGGCACTTTCCCAGAATCCTATTATCTTCAATAGCCTGAGGAGATTTGAGTACTTAACAAAAACACTTGCAAGACTTTTTCCAGAATACTTAGATTTCTCCTGAGGCAACTCAAACTTCTGATTTGGCAGTGAAACCAAAACGTGTTTCTTTGGAGATGGTATTGCTAATGATTACAAACTCAATATGATCCTATTCTGCGTAATTAAACCCAAGTGGCCATATTATGAGTGGAGGAGGGAACATATCTCTGAACAAGCTCAGCCTCATCTGGAGTCACTCAGTATGATAGGCTCAGAGCTGCATTTGGGGTTCTGCCTGGCAAAAAAATAAAAGCATCTCTTCCTTCAGGATTTGTATAAACTGATGATACAATGTATCAATGTCTTGCTGGCCTTGCCCTGTGAGAAAGATGGGGAGGAAAAGCCCTCAGTGGATTGCAGTCAGCTCTGCCCTTTTTCTAGGAGCCAAAAGGAAATTCTAGGGCAGCAAGAAAAGAGTATTTACTCAACAGTCAAGGCTTTAAAATAGCCTCCTCCCAAAGCTATGAAACTGCTGGGGTAAAACATAGGGGAAACTCTTCAGGACATTGGTCTGGGCGAGAATTTTTTGGGTAAGAACTCAAAAGCACAGGCAACAAACGCAGAAAGAGACAAATGGGATTACATTAAATTTAAATGCTTTTATGCAATAAAGGAAATAACAGAGTGAAGAGACAACCTACAGAAGGTGAGAAAATATTTGCTAACTATGTGCATTTGCCAAGGGGTTAATATCCAGAATATATAAGGAATTCAAACAACTCAACAGCAGAAAAACCAAATAGTCTAATTTAAAAATGGGCAAAAATCCTGAACAGAGATTTCTCAAAATGAGACATACAAATGACCAACAGGTCTCTGAAAAAGTACTCAATATCGTTAATCATGAGGAAAATGCAAACCAAAACCACAGCGAAATATCACTTCACTCTAATCAGAATGACTATTATCAAAAAGATAATAGTCATAATAACTAATGATGGCAAGGATGCAGAGAAATGCGAGCCCTTATGCACCACTGGCAAGAATATAAATTAGTACAGCTATTATAGAAAACAGTATAGAGCTTCCTCAAAAATTAAAAGTAGAACTACCATATGTTCCAGCAATCTCACTAGTGGGTATTTATCCAAAGGAAATGAAATCACTTTGTTGAAGAGATATCTGCCCTCCCATGTTTGTTGCAGCACTAGTCACAATAGCCAAATATGGAATCATCCTAAGTGTCCATCAATGGATGAATAAAGAAAATGTTGTAGAGATACATAGTGAAATACTATCCAGCCATAAAGAATGAAACCCTGTCATTGTGACAATATGGATGAACCTTTAGGACATTATGATAAGTGAAATAAGCAGGGCACAGAAAGATATATACTGTGTGATCTCACTCATTTGTGGAATCTTAAAAAGCTGATCTCATAGATATCCAG